ACTAAGACTGCAAACCTCGTCAAATGCTCTTCTTATGCTTTATTTCATCAGGCAGTCTATAGCATTAGATGTCCTTACGGCCACAAGACTTTCAGCTACAAAGTGACAGATGGCAATGGTGGCAGGCTTTGTTCTTGCTAATAATTTTACAGCCGATTATAAACTGCAGGCCAGTGAAGAATAGTGTGGCATAAAAACAACTGGGAAATCAACACTTCGCAACCCCTGAACCAAATCTCTTTGGTCTAGAATATCATGAGTTCGTAAGGGTGTGAGCAGACCAATCACCCCTTCAGTTTTCTTTGGGCCTTCCCACCTTTAACCAATGTTAAACTGCCCTCAGTACTACACACGTACCTCCCAAAGCATGCACGGTCCTGGTCCTCAGCAGCCCATTTCATAGGTGGCCATTTCTTTTCTAATTTGAATAGCAGTGTCTTCTGCATCCTTAGGGAGTCCATCAAGTATGCGGAAACCCCTGCCTTGTCTAAGGCTGGGCTCATAGTGAGGCCTTAAAGATAGTGACTCTACTCAGGAGTGATGGTAACAAAGATACAAAGTGCCACACCATCCTTCCCTTGCCTATTCCTCTCAATATTATGGAGGTCTCTATTAATTCTGTTTTAGAGATGGGAAACTGAGGTTATCATAACTTTCCTTTGGCCAGCTGATCCGTTCATGGTTGATTAATGATGATTTCCATGATAATCAACACCCAAATTGAGCATTAGTTATGCTGGAACCTGTACCATGTGTGGTACCAGAACAAAGCTTAAGGCCTAGACAAACCCGATCTCATCAGATCTTGGAAGTTAAGCAGGCCCGACCCTGGCAAGTATTTGGAAGGGAGACCTCCAGGGAATACCAAGGCTGGGATGCAGAAGCAGACAATATCAAGTCACCTCTCTGAAACATCCCAGTCCCACTAGGGGTTGCCAGATGTCACCATGACATCCAGGCACACAAGCACACACACACACACACACACACACAAAGAACAAAACCTATGAGAAAAGTGGAAGAGCCCATCCTTATCTCACCTCATCAACTATACCTCACCCTTCCCCCCAATGGGGACCCAAAGTGGCTTACATCCTTCTCTTCTCAGTTTTACCCTCACAACTACCCTGTGAGATAAGGCTGAGAGACTGTGACAGGCGACAGGCCCAAGGTCACCCAACAAACTTCCATGGCAAAGTGGGAATTTGGACACAGCCTAGAGCAGGGGTGTCAAACTCATTTGTTATGAGCGCCGGATCTGACATAAATGAGACCTTGTTGGGCCGGACCATGTGTGTCATAAAATGTAATGCCAAGTAGTGGAGATATAAACTTTATAAAGAACACAAACACAAAGGGTTTTTTCTACTTAAAATAAAAACATGCTTAAAACATTAGCACTCTTGCGATATTTTGTTTATTTAACAGTGTCTGATAACTGACACCTCTTGCTCTGAATTATTGCATCAAAATGTCTGTGCTGTTGCAATCTTGAGTATGCTGTTCAGGTTTGTATCTGTAAGCTGCAAACCTATGATGACGCAGCAGCAGCAGAACTGGAAGAAGATGCAGACGACAGCCAGTTCCACTGCAGGCCTGATAGAAACCCTTCGGGGGCCTGATCTGGCGCCTGGGCTGCATGTTTGACACCCCTGGCCAACACAGTGGCTTTCTTGATATTGTCATTCCTTGCTAGCCAAGAATAGTTTTCACAGATTTCTCATGCCAAAGGCTTGTACTTCCCAGCATTTCATGCTTGGGTTTGTTAACACATTAAGACTTTATGCAACTGTACCATACACCTTTCAACACATTTTAAGTAACAGAATGAATTAAAAGACTCCACCCCTCCTCCAGAAAAAAGAGGTCAGGGGCTTACGAGACAAATCGTTTCAAAGAAGTCAGAATTTTACTCGTCTGCTGGCAGCCAAAATGAACAAGGTAGCTATGTAAAGGGGAACCCAGGTACAACAACGGTAAAATATTTGATTCAGAAAAAGGACAAACATTCAGAAGGTGAAGAAGCAGAGTTATGACAGCAGCCAAGAACAGACAAAAGATCCTGGATCATGTCAATACCTTTAATGAGGTAAGGGCCGGTACACTCACATGTGTAAAATTCAATCAAAAAACAGAAATACAGATCTGGCTGAGGTGAACATAAGTGCAATTGGCTAGGGATGCGTAAGACCTTGATGTTTGAAAAACACTGGCCATAACTTGGTAAGATTTGATCCATTTTCTGGGTGCTTGTAATTTAATCTGAACATTTACAGTCAAGAACTCTCAATCATCTTTTCCCCTTGATAGGGATATCCTGCCTTTTCCAGCCGACGACAGAGGCTCTGTATAAAAAGCCCTTGACAGGCTTCCTGTCTTTCACATGAAGGGCTGCGGGCCCAACCCAAGGCCTTCTGAATAATGAAAAAATATGCACTTCATGATTATCACATCTACATATTTTTGTCCAAACAGGTGCTTCCTATCCACACTTCCGGATCTCTGTTCTAGTGAACCCTGCATGTGCCTGATCTTAATACAGTCTTATGTTAACAACCAAAGTCATGCATCCGAATGTGCACTGTAAAGTGGGTCGCGAACTTCCTCCTCGCTGTCTGCAACTTTAACAGAACTTAACTAGACAATGTACACAGGCAAGTCCTATATTTACAGCATTTATATCCCCCAGCATCTCACATTAAAGTGCACCCAAGTTAGCAAGCCACAGCACATAGTAAGAGACATATAAACTGCAACCAACTAAATTAAGTTCAACACAGAGCAACTTAAAAAAATATATATATCAAGGTCAATCCAGCCAGAACAAAACACAGTATTCCTTACTCCCACCCTGTGCCATTTCCTCTTCTGTGGACATATGCACTGGAGGTGAAGCTGTAGCTCATTAAAGTATCTACTTTGCATGGAGAAGGTCCCCAGTTCAATCCTCATACTGCTTTAGAAGCTCAGGTAATAGGTGATAAGTAGAGGTCTTCCATAAGACCCTCAACCAAGAGTCCAACCCAGTAATGGAGCCAGCATATTTCTCCCATCCTGCAGGTACTTCACCGTCAGTTACTGGGCTCAATTTAAGGTATTAGCTATCACATACAAAGCCTTTCACGGCCTTGGATCCTCAAATCTGCAAGACTGCCTCTACCTTTACATTTCACCAGAACTTTACTCATCAGAGACGGGTGATCTGCATGTGCCAACTGGCAAATGGGCAAAATCAATAACTGCCAGTACATATGTCATATGAACATAAGAGACGCCAATGTTGGATCAGGCCAAAAGCCCATCCAGTCCAACACTCTGTCACACAGTGTCCAAAAATACCAGGTGCCATCAGGACGGAGGTCCACCAGTGGACCTTTTCACTGTGGGCCCCCACCTTCTGGAAAAAGTCATGAAGGCTTCCATTCTCCTGGTTTTCCGCAAACTATGCAAAACTGAACAATTATTCAAGAGGACTTTTCTACACAGGCAATAGAGTTGCACTGTGCCAAAAGATTCAGATAGTTTACTTGGATAAAATATATGGGGCTGTGGTTTATACAACTGTGTATGGCTTGCTGAAACTAGGATCCTACAATGGTAGGGTTACCAGGCAGCCTCTTTTTTTGAGTCCATCCTCTTTGGGGCTCTTTTTAAAAAACTGATGAAAATGTCCTCTATACGGGTTGGAAGGTTAGGAATATTCCTAGGTAGTAGCAATTATCATCGCTTAAATAGTTTCTTAAATATTCCTAGGTAGTAGCAATTATCACCGCTTAAATAGTAGGTGTATTTAACATGAGATTTGTCATAGTGATCACTTGTTTGAAGTAGCAAGTCGGGAAATATGTCCTCTTTTTTTGCTTTTCAAAATGTGGTAACCCTATACTACAGAATTTTACGTCGCTTAATGCATCATGTTAATACTTTATGCTTCATTTCTGGTTGGTAAGACAACCCTAATCCTATTGTTTTGTCAATTGTATTGAATCACTCTATCTGCTTTGAGTCTGAGAAAGGCTTAATACTTTATGCTTCATTTCTGGTTGGTCAGACAACCCTAATCCTATTGTTTTGTTTACTAAATGTCCCATCTGTCAATTGTATTGACTCACTCTGTATAATCTGCTTTGAGTCTGAGAAAGGTGGCCTATAAATAACATAGCAAGCAAACAAATAAAACCCTACTTGCTTCAAGTATCCATGGAGTGTCCCCACACTTTTCGGCTACATACACTAATCACGCATTCCCATTTCCAACAGCTGGTGGGGGGACTTACATTTTTTCTGCAGACACAGGAAGTATACTGACTATGTAGGAAAAGCTGTTGGGACAGAGTGAGCTTCCTGTTAGTGGAAATAAGTATCCGCACACGGTGCCCTCTGTTGGAAATTAGATATACAAGTAAGGGGACTCGCGATACTCGCGGGGTGGGGGGCGAAGAGCTCCATCTCTTCCACCCCCCCGCGCGATCTCCACTAAAAGCCAACCCTCGAAGCAAGCCGCAATGCTCCTTTACTCCACACACAACTAATCGTCCTTTACTCCCTAATCCACAGGGGGTTTCTCCGCGCTTCTCACACACCCCTTGACCCAGCCCACACGCGCGCTCGAATGCAACAGCCAACCATGACACCAAAGGAGACGGATCCCAGGAAACCCGCGGGAATGCTCCGCAGGTGACCCCCAAACTCCCCCTCCCTCCCTCCCAGCCTCCCTCACAGCCAACGATGAGGTCCCTTTCCCACACTGCAGAACGCAGCCTCCTCTCCACCCGAATCGTTTATCTAACTGGAGCTTTCTCCCCTTTTCCTCTCTGCCTGGGACGGATCCCGACACCAGTCGCCGCCCCCTTTCCCGCGAGGGCTGCAACCTGACGCACCCTTCCCCGGAGAGTGAGCCCCCACCCCTCACACCGTAACGGCCGGGCACCGGCTGCACAACACAGGATCCACAGGTGGGATTAACTATTAAGACTCCCTTCTCTCCCCTCCCGCCCTACCTGCTGCCCAGGAAGCTGCGGGCCAACTCCGCCATCTCCGCAGGCGCCTCGGCCTGGCTGAGGGCGCCACCCCTTCTCGGAGGACTCCAAGGCAGGGCGTCCTGCGCGCCCAGCGGCCTTGGGAACTCCCGCAGGAGGGAGGCCAGGAATCCCCGCGCCGCCTTCGTGTTCTAGCCGGCCATGGTCACTCCCGCCGCTGTGGCCGTTGGGCTGCCCCCCCTCGATTTCCCCCCTCTGGCCTCCCCCCCGGCTCGCCGCTCTGCCCCCCCACTTGCTGCTCGCCTTCCTAACGGCGGTGGTGGCGGCGGCGTTCTCAGAGCGTTCCCTGCGCATGCGCAGGGGGGGCGCTGTCAGTTTCGGGGGGATTTAAACATCCCCCCGATATTTTTTCCCAGGTTTCGTATTTTTGTGCACACCTGGGGACCGCCCCAAGTGTGCACAAACCTCTCCCTCCCCCGCAAGTGCCCCCGGAGCGCGGATTTAGATATCCGCACTCACGGGAACACTTCAGTATTAGTATAAGGATAGATATGGAGCAGAGGTCCATCAGTGGCTATTAGCCACAAGATATAGACAGGAACTCTCAATCTGGGGCAAGTGATGCTCTGTCTTCTTGGTGCTTGGGGGGGGTCAACAGTGGGAGGGCTTCTAATGTCCTGGCCCCACTGGTGGACCTCCTGATGGCACCTGGTATTTCTGGCCACTGTGTGATACAGAGTGTTGGACTGGATGGGCCTTTGGCCTGATCCAACATTGGCGTCTCTTATGTTCTTATGTAATCCATTTTCTTAATCTCTAGTCAAATTCAAAAAACCCATGCTATTTCTTCTAGTCTTCACTCAGAGAAAAGTGGGCATCCTACATTGAGAGGCATGGAACAGCCAGTGGTTATTTGAGTTGATCCATCAAGACAGTATTGCCTATCATCTAAGGTCTTGCTACATAAATCTAGAGTTGTAACTTTAACATGAAAAAGGCATAGATTTCCAGAAGTATCTTCTTAGGGAGAATGTTATGAATGATCAGGCCACTCTAAGTCTAAAGACTGTGTAAATGGAAATCTGATAGGCAGCATCTCTTATTTTTATTTATTCTCTGCCATTCCCTTTGTGGTTCAAGGCACCTTATGATTCGTAATTAAAACAACATGATTCATTTAAAAAATAAAACCCCTAGAGAACAAGCAGCTAAAATCCCACTGAACACCTCACAAATAAAGCCACTTTGCAATGATGCCTCCTAAAACTCTCCAAGGATGGCAACCCCATCATCTCCTCAGGGTGCCTGTTCCATAAAGTAGGAGCCACTGTTGAGAACAAACAGGCTCTAGTGGATGCCAGACGGGCAAACCTAAGCATGGGGATGATCAGACGGTGGCTTCCAGAGGACTGTAATTGGAGCACAGGGACAAATGGAGAGAAACAGTCCTTCAGCTATTATGGCCCCCAGACCTTAAAGGTTGTAAACTGCAACCTGAACTGAACTCAAACAAACTCTATAGACAGTCAGTTTGGCTGCTTCCAAGAATTTACCTTAAGTCTAATCAGTTTCAACCCGACTAGGAGTTCTCCCTTTGTAGGCTGAGTGCTGATGAGAGATTATTGTAGTTCATTAGCAGTGATTTTATTGGTACAACTACAGAGGGAATAATTGTGTTTTCCTCAAACAATACTATATTTTAATTTGATGGGAAAATGCAATATTCCCCAACAGAGGCACTTATCTTAAACAACTGTGCCATGCAACAAACAAGCAATCATTTATAGCTCGTTATGCTAAACTCAACCATTCAGAAGATCTTTGCCCTCTAAGGGGTCAGAGCATTTGTGGTCTTCTTCCTCTGAGGGATTTTTTTACTTTGTCATGCCATGTTAATTGGCTCTTCTTTGCATCCCACATTACCGCAAGCTTTTGAAACAATAAAATACCAATGTGTGACACTTTAGCAGGTTTGGTGTAGGGGCCAGTTCGGTGTAGTGGTTATGTGCACAGACTCTAAGCTGGGAGAACCGGGTTTGATTCCTCACTCCTCCACTTGCAGCTGCTGGATGACCTTGGGCAAGCCATAGTTCTGCCAGAGCTGTTCTTGAAATAGCAGTTTCTGTCAGAGCTCTCTAAGCCCCACCTACCTCACAGGGTGTCTGTTGTGGGGAGGGGGAGGGAAAGGAGTTTGTAAACTGCTCTGAGACTTCAAGTAAAGGGCGGGGTATAAATTCAATCTCCTCTTCTTCTTCTTTAGCCTACAAACATAAAGACTTAATTACCTAGTACTGAGGAAAAACTCTTGAATAACCTCTGGCAGTCTGCCCTGGGGTTAATAGATATGCTGGTGAGCAGGAAGGTTCACTTTTGGCAAAGAAGAAGAAGAAGAGATTGGATTTATACCCGGCCCTTCACTTGGAGTCTCAGAGCGGCTCACAAACTCCTTCCCCTTCCCCTTCCCACAACAGACACCCTGTGAGGTGGGTGGGGCTGAGAGAACTCTGACACAAACTGCTCTTTTTCAAGGACAGCTGTGCCAGAGCTTGTGACTGACCCAAGGTCACATCAGCAGGTGCAAGTGGAGGAATGGGGAATCAAACCCGGTTCTCCCAGATTAGAGTCCGCGCACTTAACCACTACAAGGTCCATGGCTGTCACCCCGTAGCACAATCCCAGTGCTGAAAATTGCATTTGTGAACAGGACTAGGTATTCATTGACAAGCAGAAACCACTGCAACCCTCTTTGATTTGAGTTTTGGGATCCAAAAATCTGCACCTGGAAACTGAACCTCTTTTCTTGAGAACACTTAGGAGAAATCAAATGCAGAAGTACTGCAACTTGGCATGAAATTAATGTCACTCTGCGCATCAATAGCCAGAAGAGAGACAATGGGAGATACTGAAGGACATTCAGCGATTTGATTTGTCAGAGCAAACCACAGGCTTCCTGGTGCCTTTCAGGATGTATTCTTAATGCCTTTGTTTAAAAACAAAACAAACACAAACTCAACTCTGCACAGTTTGCCTATCCCAGGTCTTTTATTTTGTTCAGATTGGTACAGATTATTTTCAGTTCTAGCACTTAAAATAATTTAATTGCTCCTGATTCTTCAAGGGGCCTATTATGCACACACAGTTACTGCAGATTTTCTGAGCAGTAAGGCTTTACGCTTGACTTCGGATTCTATTCCCGCCTTATGTACCATTCTTTTTGGCCTGCTGTATTCATCCTGCAGCTACCAACCCCCACCCCCCCAACCCACAGTTTTTCTAAATTGGGGTGGAATGTCATTTGTGTGATGTGACATGTGCGGGGTGCCATCCACAGTTGTTGTTGTTTTAATTTACACAGCTGCTGCCCTATTGCAGCTGCACAGTAGCATCCAGCAAGCACATTCCATTTAAATCCTCATGGTTCAGGTGTTGCACACACATTTTACTGTTAGTTCCTTGAATGAAAGGGAACAGAAAGGAACACGGGCAAAGGGGGAACCACCCACTGTTGAAATTAACCATCCTTTCCCTTGCAACTGACAAGCAGCTGTGAAGCCCAGTTTTCCATAGTGCTGAGCAAGGGGTTGGGGCAGGACCCAGCCCTCAGAGGTATTCTTGGAGAAAGTGCAGCAGCTTGATTTCATAATGCTCCCCCGACTCTGGGTAGCAAATACCATGTAGCTCATTCAGGTAGACCTGTAGCTGATAAGGTTTCCTGGCACAGCTGAGCTGGAAGGTCAGGAAACTGGTGCAGAAAAAGTGCACCTTTTCATCCAGAAACCCATGGAAGATCAGCAGCCAGTTGGGTTCATTGGGGAGCTCGTCTACATGCAGTGCCACTGAACCTGTTTATAGCCTTGCTGGTTGTTTTCCAGGACATCAACGTACCTTTCTGTGTAACCAGTGTCATAAGCCATCCAGTGTCATAAGTCGATAGCTCCCTGCAGGCGCAGCTCTGTGCTGCCTCTTCCCATTGTCTGGTTTAAACTGGGCGGCAGGAGGGGGCAGCCCAACCAGAAATTATTTATTTTTTGTTTTTACAGCAATCTAAGACTAGCATTAATCTCATAATGCTAGACTCAAGCTGCTTGTAAAATAAAAGTTTAAATGTAAAACAATGAGGGACAGACTGATGAATGGCGGAAGATACAGAGTGGGCAGAACAACCTGGATGTGGGCATGGGAGTGGCGTACAAGGGGCAGGAAAAGGGCGGGGGAGAATCCGAGGGAATCTGTATGCTTTTGAATTTCCTTCGGCTTGGAAGTGATGCAAAGGAAAAACCAGCACAAAAGCACCCTCAGAAAACCTGGGAAAACAGCGAACAGAAACTGGACTGAGCGCTGAAGGAAGGAAAAATGCAGGACTAAAAAGAAAACCCAACAGACATGCATGGTGAAAGCGAGGCAAAGCACCCATGCATAATAGACCTTTAAGAGTGGATTGCAGTAATTTCAAAACATATAAAAGTAGAAAGCATCAAACAAACGGCAGCTGATAGCCTACAGCATCCCGTATTCCCAGGTGGTCTCCCATTCAAGTACTAACCAGGCCCAACCCTGCTTAGCTTCCAAGATCAGACAAGATCAGGCGTGTTCAGGGTGGTATGGCCATAGGCACAGCTGATAGCCAAAGGACTGCTGAGTCATCCATAATTCTTGCGGCAGGGGATACAAGTCAAGCTGGGCCCGGGCACCACCATTCTTAGAATCCCGGTGTAATCTAAATCAAACTCCTGGCTCTAGGGAGAGCTTAGCCAGGAACTAACAAAACACGTGATGAAGCGTTTGTATAACAAGCAGCATCCTCCCTCATCGGGATGCATAAATCTGAGAAAGGTTTTAATGAAGGTATAAGAGCAGCAAAGGTAGCTATATGGAATATCATTCCTTTTGTATTCCTGTAGATGTGATACAGTCAGACTTACTAGGTCTATACATGTTAAGTCTGAAGAAGAAGAAGAAATTGGATTTATACCCCGCCCTTCACTACCCAAAGGAGTCTCAGAGCGGCTTACAAACTCCTTTCTCTTCCCCTCCCCACAACAGACACCCTGTGAGGTGGGTGGGGCTGAGAGAACTCTGACACAAACTGCTCTTTTTCAAGGACAGCTGTGCCAGAGCTTGTGACTGACCCAAGGTCACATCAGCAGGTGCAAGTGGAGGAGTGGGGAATCAAACCCGGTTCTCCCAGATTAGAGGCTGCACACTTAACCACTACACCAAACTGGCTCTCTGACTGTATCACTCCTACATTAATACAAAAGGAATGATATTTGGCTCTCTTGCTTGAGTAGAAACTGTTTGGAATGCACATTTGCGCAGCAGGTTAGCTGTAAAAGTAACTGACATCAAAGCAGAGCTGAAAGAAGTGCCCACGCTCTTTAAGTGCTATGTAACTACCAGTATAAATAGCCACACTGAAATCACCTGTGGGAAGATAACAGAGATAATCCAGACCTGTTAGAGCTACTGAAGTGGGTAGCAGAGCCACCCTCATTTTAACAGACGTCTCTTACCTGCGATGGATCATCATTTCTTTCAACTGGGTTCCAGCTGCCATGATTTAATAAGTGAACACATGTAGAGGGATACTAAACATATTAACTAAGAATCAAGGGAGACAGATTTGATGCTCAGTAGCTTCCATTTGAGTTTTTTTCCCTGTATAAAATAAACAGGACACAATTCAGCAGGGGTTAAATCTTGCCCTTCACACTGGATATGAGTTATCAGGGCAGAAGACACATTTACTTTTTCTCCAAATGAATCAGAGGTGTATCACATGAGGCCCAGCCCTGACATCCAGAACTTTGTTTGTTTGTTTGACATCTAGAACTTGCCCTCTTTGCTGTGGAAGCAGAACATACTGTGGAGGCAGAACAATGCAGCTGCTATAGCGCTGCAGCACATGGCTCTATGGAGCGGCACCAGTATCAAGCAGAAATCAGTAGCTCTGTGGAACCGAGACACTGACAATTAGCTGCAATGCCACATTACAGTGGGGACCTGGGCTCTGCTGAGAGGCACCGATTTCTTCTTGAAACCAGCACCTGCCAGAGGAACCAAAGTGGAGCCAATTGGTCAGAAAGTGGTCACAAAACCAACTCCCAGTTGAGAGGCAGCATCCTTATACTCCCCCTCTGACTGGGAAACTTCTGCTCCTTCCAGAAGAGAGGTGCAGCAAAAGTTTTCTAGGCATGGTGGGGATGTTCAGAAGACAGCTACCCAACCAAGAGACAGCATTCTGACCCTGTCATTCCCCCGCCTCCAGATTTCTCCATTAAGACCCAGCAGGGCTTTGCAGAGCTCCCCCAGTGGCTTCATATAGACTTTAAGATGCATAGGAGATAACTACAGAGCCCTTTGGGACTATCCAGATTCCAGAACAAATGCTGTGGACTTGAGCAATCATCTCCCAGCGCAACCTTTTTTGGTTTTGGTCAGCCAGATAGGACCAGAACTAGCAAAGCACTGTGGTCCCTAACCCCATTCTGTTATCTGCTGTTTGGCAATGAAGACTGGATGGTATCAGAAGCTGCTGCAAGATCCAGGGATGCACTCCCTCATCTCTCACCCAGGGTGGGTCATCCAGTAGAGCAACCAAGATATTCCCTGTGCCAAAATGAGGTTTGAAATGATTGAAATTAGTCTAGATCACCAGGTTCACTCAAGAAAGCCTGGAGATGCCCAAACTCTGTTTGCACGGATGACAAAAGCCTTCTCCTGCACCTTCTCTCATTGAACTCCCATTTGTTTCTCTGCTTTTCTCTCAAGGCAGGTTGACTTGTGTTATGAGTAATGGTCAAGCAAGGGGGACCCAGGATCTGCAGGAGACCATATGGGATGAGTAGTCTGGCTTCTGACGTGGCAGGTCTCCAACACCAGATGAGGCTTCAGTATGCCTTTTCACTTGTTGGGTGGGATCTCCAAAGAGGACAAACCAAAAAAAAGAGCATCAATGTACATCGGGACAAAAAGCCCAACTTCAAGTATAGGTTAATGGGATCTGAACTTGCTGACCCTGAGAGGGAAAAAGATCTTGTGGTCATAGTGGGTAGCTCAATGAAAGTGCCAACTCAGTGTGCTGCAGTGGCAAAAAAGGCAAACTCTATGTTAGGGATTATTAGGAAAGGGATTGAGAATAAAACGGCCAATATTGTAATGCCCCTGTATAAATCTATGGTGCAGTCTCATTTGGAATACTGTGTACAATTCTCGTCACCATATCTCAAAAAGAACATTGCAGAGTGGGAAAAAGTGCAGAGGAGGGAAACCAAGAGGGGGTTGGAACACATTCCCTATGAGGAAAGGCTGAAGAGTCCAGGACTTTTCAGTTTAGAAAAGGGACAACTAAGGGGGGAAATGATAGAGAATTTTTTATCCCTCTCCCAAAATACTAGAACTCGAGGGCATCCAATGAAGCTGATGGGCAGTAGGTTCTGGACAGACAGAAGGAAATACTACTTTACAGAGTGATTAAAATGTGGAATTTGCTGCCAGAGGATGTAGTGATGGCCACAGCTTTAAAAGAGGATTAAATAAATGAAGGATAAGGCTGTTAATGGCTACTAGCCATGGTGACTGTGGGGAACCTCCACATTTAGAGGCACTAAACGTCTTAATCCCAGAGCCAGGAGACAACATTAGGGGAAGGCCTTGGCCTCTATGCCCTATTGTTGGCTGTCCAGAGGAACTAGTTGGCCACTGTGTAAGCCAGCACGCTGGACTAGATGGACCACTGGTCCGATCCAGCAGGGCTCTTCTTAGGTTCTTACCTCTTCAAGAAACTGAAGCCAGATAGCACAGAACTGCAATAACTGGCAGTCAAGAAATCTTCCATCGGCTCTTAAATGTCAGAAATAGTTCAGAGCGTTTTAAAACTTTTATTAAAGCTACCTAGTGAATTCATGGTAGACACAAGATTTAGACTGAGATCTGTCCAGTTCACAGTTAAGTCAATATTTGCCATGCTTCAGTATCCTGCTAGACTGTCTGGATTAGTAACAATCAACACCCTGAATATGTGGATTTCGAAGGACCGATGATTGGACTCAGAAAACTGATCCCATGAAAAACACTGTTGCTGGAAGCAGGACATACTAAAACTAAGGACAAGCAATTGCCCATAGGGAATACATGAGTGGACAGCGATTGCCCATAGGCAATACATGAATGCCAATAGGGAATAATGAAGAGTAGGCTTGCCCATAGGGGATAATGGAGTACATAATTGCCAATAGAGAATCCATAATAGCCAATAGAGAATCCATGATTGTCCATAGGGAATAATGGAGAGTAGGCTTGCCCAGAGGAGATAGTACAGTACATAATTGCCAATAGAAAATCCATGACTGCCCATCGGGAATAATGGAGAGGATGCTTGCCCATAGAGGATAATGGAGTACATAATTGCCAATAGAGAATCCATGACTGCTCATAGGGAATAATGGAGAGGACACTTGCCCATAGGGGATAATGTACATAATTGCCAATAGAGAATCCATAATGCCTATAAAGAATCCATGCCTGCCCATAAGGAATAATGGAGAGGACACTTGCCCATAGAGGATAATGGAGTACATAATTGCCAAAAGAGAATCCATGATTGCTCATCTCTCCTTATATATATTTGAGTTTTGGTATGAACTCTTCCACACGCCTCCCCAGGCTTTGGGATGCTGATCGGTCGATCAGGAGAGGGGCAATTCCCCTGGCCGCCTTGCCTCCCTCCCGCCCACAGACCCGCGGACTGGTGTCTCTCCCTCATTAGCCGGGAAGCCGTGGGTCGGGATGGACGCTTTGCCGGCTGGATGCCTTCCAGGCCCACCACCTCCCCACCCGGCCTGCAGCCTCATGGGTCCCACCTGGGGAACAGGCAGCCAGTGCAGTCGGGCGGCAGGGTACGGGTGGTGGAGGG